AGCTGGGATTACAGGCGGCCACCACAGTGCCTGGCTAATTTTTGTATTTTTAGTAGAGACGGGGTTTCACCATGTTGGCCAGATTGGTCTTGAACTCCTGACCTCAGGTGATCCACCTGCCTTGGCCTCCCAATGTGCTGAAATTACAGGTGTGAGCCACTGCGTCTACCCCACTGATATTTTTCAGGCAGTTCTGACAGTGTGGGGAGGAGGAAGATGTGGTCCTGTGGTCCTGGATGATGGTAATGTAAAGACCCTGAAACCAGTATGCCTAGGAGCCTCCCACAGATTTTCCGAGATCTCCAGGTGGTCAATGGGAACATTCCTTTAGGACCTTTCAAGGGTGTTTACTGTTGCAGTGGGAGGGGCCCTGGAATTACATATCATGGAAACCTCCCTGAAAGAGACCCTGCAGTTTCCATGGCCTCAGGCTAACCACAAAAAAAACGAACACTTCCAGTTCAGTGCCAAGTACCATTTTTTATAATGCAGAGTTAATCATTAAAACGAAAGGGTTTGTGTGCAATTTTAGGTACAGGACCAATATTGGTCTTCCCAAAGACTGGTCAAGGAGGGTCTTTCTTCACTAATCCATCAATTTTCTGTTACCCTGAAGTAAGGATCCCATCCATGAATGCCCATCCTGTTTCTTTATGTGTGTAGAGGGTGTTTTCTCCTTGAAGTTGGTACAAATCCCACAAGAGACTCTATGGGGCATGCCAGTGTTGGGGAAGATGGAATTCTATGGGTACTGCTCATCTCTCAGGAGCTCCACCACAGTAAGCATATTTTACATGATATGCAATAAACCCGTTAGCAAACTTGAGGACAGCAAAGAAGTTCAGGGAACAGATGCCTGTAGCTGATAGGAATTAACTTCAGAAGGCTCCTTCACAACCTTCTGTCTCACTCTTAGTTTTCGCAGGAAAGAGAGGGCACCCTGAAGTGGGCAACTGAAGAAAATTTAATAAAATGACTATTTACAAAGAGGTGGAAGAGTTAAGATATCAACAAGGGATAGGAAAACATTTAAGAGCTAGCAATAGCTGGGAGCCATCATCATCCTTAGATCTGATAGGGTCAGGGGAGAGAGTGGTTATCAGAGTACAACGGAAGGTGTAGGAGAGAGACACTGAACAGGAATCAAAGCCTTGGGTGGAGGAACACAGTGACTAAAACCCCTGGCCCAGCAACAAGGGACCAGGGATACAGCTACCGCATCTCGTCATCTTCTCACCCTTTTGTCTCCTTCCAGGGCTTCCCATTGGCTGAACTTAACAGGAAGCCAAAGGACAAGAACAAATGTGGAGGCTGCACATAGTTCCCTGGGGGATGGAGGACCTTTCCAGATAGGAAAATGGAACATATCCAGCACGTGTTTCTTGGCTAAAATATCCTTTTTGAAAACCAAACAAAAGCAAACATGATTTAGTAAAAAGAGCATAGAGCCACGATTGAGAAGACCAATGTTCTAAGTTAGTCCCAGCTCTGCTACTGACTTGCCAAAAGTCTTGGGTTCCATGTCGCCTCCTTGTGTGTTGGGTGCTGTGTGGATGAGTGGGTTTATCAGTACAGGTGAGTGGTGAATGTGAGAAGACAGCTAAAGCCCTGGTAAGGAGATGGGGAGAGTGAGCAGCCACAGGCGCTGTAACTTAGGAAGAGGGAGAAGGGTAGTATTGGGGATACGCATAACCTGATGGTGAAGGAACAAGGGCAGGAAGAACAAAATTCTGAGATTAAGCCAAGCCCTGAGACACTCCTCTCCTCTCATGTTCAGCAAGGCATTGGGGGATGTTCACTGACAGCTGCAGATGTCAACATTGACAAGAGAAGACAGGGAGGCTCTGTTTATTCCTGAGTAAAAGGAACACTAACTATTTTCATTTCGTGGCTGCTTGCTGTTCTTGCCTAGTTGCCAGACAGTGCATCGGAGAAAAGATCATGCATCTCAATGCCCATGTGTTTCAAATAGACTCTGTCCCTGTTTGCTGCTTATTCTTTAGCAGTCGGTAGAGTATGGGATCTGCTCACAACTAAGGAAAATATTAGAAGAGACAATACCTAAGGGATATCAGTGAAGTACAGACCTTAGCCAAGCCTCACAGTGAAAACACAGGAGAGGACTGTGAGATAAGTGGAAGAGTTACAAGAGATGGATCAAAAGCAAAATGTGTATAATCCCTCCCATGGAAGGGCTAAGCCAGGTAGAAAGAATATCTGGACAGACAGGTCACTCACCAGTGGGGTGAGATCTAGATACATGGAGCTGGGTTCCCTGGCCTTGTTCCTTGTTTGGTGTCCTCTCAAAGCCACCAAGATTTGGAAAGGCCACAGTCAGGACAAGTCCTGGTTTGCTATTCCAGGAAGTAGAAGTCCAAGGGAAGAAGAGCAGACAAGAGAGTTCAGATCTAGATATAGAGCATCTTAGGGCTCTAGGTACTTCCAATCACACCTCCAACCAGATCTTCCACCAGGTCCTATAGGAAACATCTGGGACATAGGAAACTACTCCAGACACTACCTAGCTTGCCCTCTATTTCAACACTAGTCAATGATCCTTCTCAATTCAGTCATTCCTTCCTCAGGGAAATCTTTTGTGACCTCCCTGACCAGGTCAAGTCTTTCTCTTACATCCCTGGGGACATTGCCTGTGTAGCATTTACCCTAGGTGCAATTTTATAATGATTTTATTGGTGCCTGCCTCTCCCATAGTGTGTAGGCTACATAAAGCTATGCCTATTTGCACACCCGGATCCTAATTCAGTCTACAGAGCTGTATAGGTTCTTTGTTACATCAGTTATATGGATAATGGAGCAACAAATAAATGTTCTGATTTCTCAGATTCTTGGCCTGTTTCCTGGTATACCTGGGATCTCTTGCTCAGCTTGGCCTCTTGACGTTGATGATTTAGTTGCATCTTTTGCCTGGCTTTGGTTTCATTTTCTACCCTGGAAACTGCTTGGCTCCAAAGTCTGTGATAAACAGATTAGATAACAGTAGACGCAGGAACCACACAAGTAATAGAAGAACAAAGTACTTGAAGGAACAGGTAAGAAGGACCAGGACAAATGACGAAAAGAAAGAGAGGTTACGATTCATTTTTATTGCGTTTTGACCTGCCTGTATGAATAAGGTATAGAATCAAGGCTGGGTGTGGTGGCCTGTAATCCTAGCACTTTGGGAAGCTGAGGTGGGTGGATTGCTTGAGCTCAGGAGTTCGAAACCATGAGACCAGCCTGGGCAACAGGGTTAAATCCTGTCTCTACAAAAAAGTACAAAAATTAGCCAGGCGTGGTGGCATTCACCCATAGTCCTAGTTACATGGGGAACTGATGTGGGAGAATCACTTGAGCTCAGGAGGTCGAGGCTTCGGTGAGCAGTGATGGACTACTGCTCTCTAGCCTGGTCTAGCCTGGGTGACAGAGAAAGACCCTGTCTTAAAAAAAAAAAAAAAAAAGGAAAACCATGAGAAAAGAAACTGAATGAATGTCCTGAAATACTATACTATATACAACCAAGCAATTTGACTAAAGGAATATTGAACTAATCAGTTTAGACCCTTTAAGTCTCTATATGTGAACAGCTTTTTTACTTCTCTCTTGTATCTTGCATTCCTAGTTTATTCTGAACAATGCCTCCAAATTAATCCTTCCAAAATATTTGTTTGCTTTAAAATTGCTTTCAATTCACACTCCCAAAGAACAAACAAACCAAAGCATTCACTTCTTTAATGGCTCTTTCTGGTAATATTTCCCATCCTGGAGGCCCCAGATTCCTGGAAGACCAGAATTAAGAGATAAGAATGTTATTTTTGACTAATCATTTATTAAGCACTTTACTAGGTCCCAAGTACCCTGCCGATTGCATTGTATTTATTTTCATATTTAACATTCACAAAAACTCCATGGGGTGGAAACTCTCATACACATTTTATGGATGAGGAAAATAAAGTTTGAAAATTAGTAACTTGCTTAAAATCACACTTAAAAATCACACATTCAGGGGTGAAGTCAAGATTTGAATCCATACCCATCTAATTCCGGGCCTTAAGCTCTCATGGAAGCGATATAGTAGTAAAACGGTGTAAGCTTTTTTTCACTACTCTAAAAAGCATCATGGAGTTGGTAATCTAAAGGTTTTGGGGATACAGCCATAGCCTGTGAAGTAAGAGACCAATAATTTTCTTCACCATAATAGTCATAATGGTTATTATCTTAGGTCATTGTGGTAGATAATTAATTGACCATCCAGTTTGTAGCAAGCATGATATTCTAAGCATTTTGTTTTCTGTAACTTCAATTCCTGCTTTACACATGAGAAAACAAGCTGAAATAAGTATATTTTGACTTTATAAACTTAGATTGGAAGTTTCATGAGGACAGGGACTCTGTTTTTTGCTCACTATTTTATCCCAGGCACTAGCACTTTGCTTGGCCTGGAGATGGTGTTCAATAATCAAATATTGATGAATGTAGTTTATTTGGTTATAAAATAGTTTTAGCTTCTCTATTTCTTCAAGAGTTGCAAATAATTGTTATGAAAGAAACATGACTTTATATGGAAGAGGAAAATTTTTGCTTATGAAATTGCGTCTGGACTGATAGTGGCTGGTGAAAGGGAAGCTTACAGCTCATGGTGAGAAACTGTTGAGTGTGAACAGTACTCAAGTTGGAATATAAGCTATTTAGAAATTTCATTAAAGGGTGATATGTGGAAAGGAAAAACGTTGAGGTTATGTATTTTAAAAATAGAAATGTAGGTATGTAAATATGTATAAAAATGAAAAATTGATTTAAGGTACAGAGAACTTCAATGCAAGCAAAAAGAAGATCGTTGCTCAGGTGAATTTCATGAACATGTCAAAGTAGGAAAAGAAAGTCTGATATAAAATATTTAAAAGAACATACACTGAAATCTTTTTTAAAATGCTCATAATAATGAAGGACTAAATGGAGCTGATTTGTATTTGCTTACTGACAAATCTGCCAGTAGAATTTTCATTGCTTATGGACAATTACAATTGTGATAGATAACCTGAAAGCCACTGTAATCTTGGATCATACAATAATTCATTTCGCCTTCTCAAAAGCTAAGAAATTTTACCTATGAAATTTCACAAAACTCTTTTGGGAATAGAATGGAAAAAGATAAATATATAAAATGGTGAAGCTCAAAAGCATGGAATCTCTAGTCTCTTTTCTTGATGTATGATAAATGAGGAATTTTCGGGTGATATAAAGGAAGCTTTCATGTGAGTGAAAGAAAACGTTGATGCCTTTGAAGAACAAACAAAGATATGCATGACAGCAGAAGAAAAGAGGGGAAGAAGTTGAAGAACGCTGAGACTAGATATTGAAAATTAGAAATTCATTGAAACATATCTGTTGACAAGTTCAAGGTGACGAGGGAAGAAAGAGATCAAGCAGGACAAAAGGCTCTGCCTAATACACACATTCCAGAGTGTCCACGAAGGTGTTGGGAGGCAAAGGGTGAGGATTCTCTGTAGAAAGAATGGATTAAAATTGTGCCAAGAAATAATCTGTTGATAACTAAGAGTTTTTGTTCTTTCCAGAACTTGTCTGATTCCACAAAGAGAGCAAAGAGAATGACAAAGATGGAGTCCTCAAATAATAAACGTGATTAAGAGCAGAGCCCACTCCAGATGTGAAAACCGTGACTGGATTGTCAGTGAGGAGAGACTGGTCTCTGGGGTTTCTTGACCTCCCAAGGAGCAGTGCCTTTCAGAGGGCTGCCAGAGCAGATTTTTCCTTTAAGCTCTTGTTTGTTAATTTTTATATTTTATTACTTAAAAATGTTATATTGATACATATTTGTATATATTTATGGAGCAGATTTTAGATCACAGAATTCAATGGTCTAAGGGAGAAGAGATGAACAAGCTTGATGTAACAAGGAGGGTTAAGGGTGATACTTAGGAAAGGGGAGCACATATTATATTGTTTCCTATTGCTGCTGTTAATAAATTTTCAAAAATTATCACAAATAATTGATAATTATTTGTGAGTTTATAAGTTTGTTGAGTTTATAAATGTGCCAGTTGCTTGGTTGTATATAGTATAGGTATTTCAGGACATTCTTTGAGTTTCTTTTCTCATGGTTTTCCTTTCCTTTTACTTTTTTTAAAAGTGTGTTGACACATTTATAAACTCACAAACTTATAAACTCATAAACTGCCTTAAAATAACATGAATTTATTATTTTACAGTTCTGGAGGTCAGAAGTCCAAGACGGGTCTCATTGGGCTAAAATCGAGGTGTTGGCAGGCTGTGTTCCTTTCTGGAGGCTTCAGGGGGAAATCTGTCCTCCTGCCTTTTCCAGCTTCTCAAAGCTGCATGTGTTTCTTGGCTCGTGACCCTGCATTACCCTGACTTCTGCTTCCATTGTTGCATCTCCTTCTCTGACTCTGACCCTTCTGCCACCTTTTGTGAGGATTCCCTGCTGTTAACAATACATTTTTCAAATAATACAGAGGAATTTCTCCCGATTAAGATCCTCAATGTAATCACATTTGCAAAGTCCCTTTTGCCATCTTAGTTGGCATATCTACAGTTTCCAGGGATTGACATGTGGACACCTTTGGGACATGGACATTATTCTGCCTATCACAGTTTCCTTATTGCTTCTGTAACAAATTGCCATAAATGAAGTGGTTCAAAACAATACAGAAGTATGATCTTATGGTCCTTGAGGTCAGAAATCCCAAATGGGCTCAAGTGGGCTAAACTCAGGGTGTTGTCAGGAATGCATTCCTTTCTGCAGGCTCTAGGGCAGAATTCATTTCCTTCCCTTTTCCAGTTTCTAGAGGCTACCTGTATTTATTGCTTCATGGTCTCCTTCCATTTTCAGAGCCAGTGAGGATCAGTTCAGTCTTTCTCACATTGCACCACTCTGACACTGACAGTTCTGTATCCTTCTTCCACTTATGAGGACCCTTGTCATTCCATTAGGCTCACCCAGGCAATCCAGGGTAATCTTTTGTCTCAAGGTCAACTGATTAGCAGCCTCAATAACTTTAATTCTCTTTTGCCATAAAACCTAACATATTTATAAGTTCTGGGGATTAGGACTTGGAAATATTTGGGTGAGGGTCAGTAATCTCCTTGCCACCAATATGCTCTCTGAACTCCAAGTTCAGCCTGTAAGATGCCATTTACGCAATTTTATGAGTAGAGAAGGCAACCCAGAAGGGAAGTGCTTTACCCAAGGAAACAGTTATTTTCAGAAACAGACCTAGAATTGAACCCAGTTCTCTGTGACCCCAAAGCATGGCTCTTTCCACCAAAAATATTAGATACCAAGTGTAACTGAAAATACACAGTGTGTATCATAGCCTGTAAAGACTGAGTAAAATAAGAAGGGTCCGAAAGAATAATACAGGAATGTTCCCAAAAGATCAGGGAAAGTCTCTTTTGTTGAGAAACTTCTTAGAAACTATCAAGCATGCCAAAGGAGACAGGGAGAAAAGAATAATTCAGAAAAAGAAAAAAGCTTTCCATAAAGGTTAGGACCAGGTAAAGGATTTGGTGCTTCAAGTCCTTCTGCAAAAAACTTTTTTGATGATGTCATCATACTAATGGGAACTTGGAGAAAAGTTCTGTGATCTGTATTCTCAAATTTTCTAAGCCTTGGGTTTGCACCTGACTGCTGTATTTTATTTGATGTTAATGATTGGTATGATTTGGCTCTGCGTCCCCATCCAAGTCTCACGTCAAATTGTAATTCCCAATGTTGGGGGAGAGACCTGGTGGGGGGTGATTGTATTATGAGGGTGGATTTTCCCCTTGCTGTTCTCATGATAGTGAGTTCTCACGAGATCTGGTTGTTTAAGTGTGTAGCACTTCCGCCTTTGCGCTGTCTCTCTCTCCTGCTCCACCACAGTAAGAAGTGCTTGCTTCCCCTTCGCCTTCCTCCAGGATGGTAAATTTTCTGAGGCTTCCCAGCTATGCTCCCTGTACAACCTGCAGAACTGTGAGTCAATTAAACCTTTTTCTTCATCAGTGACCCAGTTTCAGATAGTTCCTTATACCAGTGTGAGAATGGACTAATGAAATGATTTAAGCATATTTTATTGTGTCTTTGAAACTACGAAATTCCTTTTGCAATAAAGGTATAAATACACAAACAACCCAAAATATAATGGAGTGAGAAAATATGAATATAAATCGATGCCATGTTACTAGCATTTCTATGCTCAATCGGCAGGAAAAAACCACAAAGGGCAAGAGAGAAGGTTCCGTTCCCCATGTGGTCTTCATAATGGAGTAGTCTTTGCCTATATCAGACAACAAAGAAGTGGTTTGTAAATAAAGGACAGGGATAGGAGAGACGTATGTCTGTCCAGCCACAATATGTATAGATACGATCTCTCTGGCAATAACGGCATTTAAAGCATATGGATTCTACCAGAGACCTTGGAATATGAACTCCAAAAGGACAAGGCAGTTTCTATTTTGTTCCCCTCGGATGCTCAAGGTGTAAAGAATAAACACTTATTTAATGGACCCAAATAACATTTATTCTTCAATGAACATTTATTGAATATACCAAAGTGTTTTAAAAAATGCAAACACGCAATAAACTATTTAAAAAAGGAAAGACAATAAAAATAAAATGTTAAGAGTGTGGTGCAAAAAGACATTTTTTAATTGGGGAGAAAAAAGAAAGGAATCAGAAGAGAACCACTTACCCAGAGATTTTGAAATTATTGTTGGAGGAAAGACCAAGCCTGATTTTGTTGTTCTTTTGTATCTTTGTTGGTATACTTCTTTAGGGGTTTCACCGGCAGCACAGCCTGGTGTGGCATCGGCCTATGGCTTTATGTTCACTTCACAGAAAGCAGATAAATTTGAGGCTTGGCATCAGTACAAAGGGACTTGTAATATTCCCTCCAAGTATGGTTAGGAGCTCAATGCTACTGAGGATGAACCACAATTTGGATTTGGGAATCCCTATGGGAAAAGAGTGTTTCTCTGAAGTATTAAGATTTTTAAAAAGGGAAAGATTTATATCAGGTAGAAAGGAAGTAGAATGAAGCAGATCAGAGGGTCCAAAACCCCAAAAGCAAGTGCTGAATGTTGTTTTCACTTTTATATTTGAGCTGTGCAAATCTAACATCAAAACTTCTTATAGTAAACAATCAGAGAGTATCAAATAGGAGTATGTATAAATAAATGCTTTGGGAACCATAAGTTTTACAAAAATGCAAATCACTTATATTTGTGTGTTCTCAATCAGTATTTGCTGGCTGGAGATGTCAGAGACAAAATTTGTGAATGCTCATTAAAGTCTCAGGCTTTGTGTCAGTGACTGACAACTAAGACTCTCATTCCCAAGCAGTATTCAGCAAAGGTGTCATTTCGCCTTCAGTCCACAGTCTCTACAAGTGGCACCCTATCCCCATCCCACTAGACAGCCTGTACTCTTGATTCACCAGCGGAGTTAGAATACTTGGATCTGAATGTCCAGGTTGTAAGACCACAGGTGAGTCATGTGATATTTTAAGCCTCAGTTTCTTCCTCTGTAAAATAATACAAATAGAACCTGCCTCTTAAGGTAAAGTGCTTTTGCAAGTGCCTGGCACATTAAACACATGCGACAAAGAGCTGGCAGTATTATTCACCCGTGGCACACTCAGGGATGCTGGGGCCTGCTTGCGGGCAGTCTTGGAGACAGTTCCTATAGAAATATTTCTAGGAACTCTTGGAAATAATTTGTTAAAGTTTTTTGTTTGGAAACTTGAGGCGTTTTTGGAGTCTCCAAAATGAAAGGTTGTGTTGAATAGCAGCAGCTAGTGCAAACCTGAAGCTGAAACTGGGTGAGTTTTCATGAGTTCAAGTGGACAACTTCCTTTCTTTTCTGTTAGCTTTATTATTGCCATCCTATAGAAAGGAGTGAACCTGGACATTGACTTCTCGAATGTGATTTAACCAGGTGAGATTATATGCAAATTAGCACAAAGAAGTGACTATAGTCAATAAGAACTTAATTTTACATTTTAAAATGACTTAAAGAGTGTAATTGGATTGTTTAGAACTCAAAGGATAAATGCCTGAGAGGATACAGACCCTATTCTCCATGATATACTTATTTTACATTGCACACCTGTATCAAAACACCTCATGTACCCCATAAATATATATGCTTACTATGTACCCCAAAAACTAAAAATAAAAAATGATTCTGTCCAGATGTACCTTATTCTAAGGAGAAGTTTCCAACTCTGAAAGAAGTTTCTGATTTCCCCCAAATATTTCAGAAACAGAGAATGAGTCAAGACATAAGGATTCTAGAACTAAGTGATCTTTTTTTTTTTTTAAATAAAATCCTACCTGTAAACTTTTTCTTACAAATTTGGCCAAGAAACAAAATTACATCTTTTGGTGTTTGTCATTATTTTCTTTATTCATCAAAATTATTTTAGAATTTTATCATATGGTTTACCTTAACAAGAGTAATTTATTTCCAGTAGTGATGCATATAATTTTTTCCCAAATGGATGCAGTAGAAATGGAAATATGAGATTACAAAGGAATGCAAGACTGTCTGGCATTTTTTTTTCCTGCTTATAGTCACTGCTGTCGATTTATACACCATCAATAGAGAAGTATTAACATCATGAGTTATTTATCTATAACATGGTTTGGGTTATGAAATTATTCATGCTACTCAAGCATTGAATTCTTAGAAGATTTATACATTGCTATTTTTTTATCTACTGGTTATGCATATTAGGTCTATAGATATGCCATATTGAGCATGCCTCAGAAGAAATGAATTTTTGTCAGTGTCTATTTATTTATTTTTTTTGAGATCGAATCTTGCTCTGTCACCCAGGCTGGAGTGCAGTGGTGCAATCTCAGCTCACTGCAACCGCCACCTCCCAGATTCAAGCAATTCTCCTGCCTCAGCCTCCTGAGTAGCTGGGATTACAGGCACAAGCCACCATGCCTGGCTAATTTTTTTTTTTTTTTGGTAGAGTCAGGGTTCCACCATGCTGGCCAGGCTGGTCTCAAACTCCTGACCTTGTGATCTGCCTGCCTTGGCTTCTCAAAGTTCTAGGATTACAGGCGTGAGCCACCACACCCTGCCTGTCAGTGTCGATTATCTGACAATTTTCTTTTTTTAAAAAAGACTAAATTTTTTTTTTAAAAAGACTTAAACTCAGTACTTTTAAAAGCACATTCTGCATGAAGAAGATGCCATTTTATTCTTTAAGAAATATTTTCATGACATGTAGAAAAGTAATTTTCTAATGGGTACCTTGGGTAATTTAAGTAAAATAAGTAGTCACACTATTGCCCTAACAGCATATATTCATACATTCATTAAACATTTATTTACTGAGGGTTGCTATGTCCAGGGCCAAGGATAAAACAGCAGAGCGTAGAGAACCTGCTGTAAGGCGGGAGCTCAAACATGCTATTTCCCTTGCCTTGCTATTGGATGAAATCACTGTGTCAAAAAATTATGATTCAGAATTGTTAAACATTATGCAACTGAAATGTATCGGAAACACTGGTGTGAATTCAGGGCTGATTTTCAGAGAGTGTCCATGAATTTGTATCGAAGAGAAAATGCACTAAAGTTGAAGGCTTCTATGGGAATTATAAAATTAATGACTTGTTTCCAAGCCAAGGGCAGAGAGAACATTCCTAAATAAACACTTCTCTCATCTAGACAAAGAGAAGTCGCAGAAGATGAAGCTAGCGAGCTTCCCGTGATTTCACTGCAATTCATTATGCGACCTTCCACAACCGCACTGGACACACCTTCACATTTCCTCCCCAGAAATCCAGAAACCCTGCAACAAGCCACCTTTAGGAAATCTTCACAGTATTAATAAAAATATTACTCTGAGCTGGGGGCCAAGTATTTTCTGGGCACCACTTAGGAGAATTACCCAGGCTGGACCAAACTGTTTGTCTTTTATCCAGATTAAAAAATAAAGACTGTTTATTCATGACCAGTTTGTCTCCCTCCCTCCCTTCCTCCCTCTCTCCCGTTCTCTTTCCCTCCCTTCCTTATTTTCTCCCTCCCTCTATCCCTCCCTCCCTTCCTTTTTTCTTTCTCTCACTACATTATGAGCTCCTTTGAAGGCCCAATCAAATCAGTCGTGTTTATCATAGTATCTTAGTACCTAACAGAGTGCCTGGCATATAGATGTTTAATAAATATTGAATGAATGAATGAATGAATGAATGAGTGCATCCACTGAAAGAATTCAGCAAATATCTGTGAAGAGCCTCATATACATGAAGGATGGTGCTAGGCCCTGAGAGTGGTGGTGGAAAAGGAAATGGATCAATGATGTAATAGTTGTCCTATGTTACTGAAAGTCGATGCCCTTCCTATCTAGCCAGCATTCCACCTGGGGACTTTACTTCTATAAATCAGAAGTGCCAGACTTGTGTTCCCTTATACCACATTCTAGCTGCATGAGCTTAGGAAAATCATTGTAATCTCCTGCGGCTTCATGTCCTTGTTTCTAAAATAAAATAATGTTTACTTGTCCTATTGACCAAGATTGCTGTGAGGATCAATCAATTTAATGTCTACAGACCCCTCAGAAAACTATTAAGCTATTAGGTGATTTTGGCCTAAACAGGAGATGATGCATACAAAATCACTAATCCTTATAAGAGTAAAATGATTATGACACAAGAGAAGTTCAGATAAGATGCTATGCATGTGGTTCATACTGCAATCATAGTAATTAGAATATTGCTGCTAACTCAATATTACTGTCTTCAATTTTATATAGTAGGAAACTTAGAAAAGCCTGGCGAATTTTCCTTAGTAGTGCCTAGAAAGCACTGGCCCCAATTCCAGAGTAATATTTTTATGAGTAGTGCACATTGGATGGCTAGATGTGCTCTTTCATTGAACTCAGTGTCTATTCCACATTCAGTTCAGTTGACTAGCATAGAAATACATTAGCCAAAAGATAGTGATGTTGTTGTTATTTTTCTACCATTTTATTTTTATTATTTATTTATTTATGTTTTTGAGATGGAGTTTTGCTCTTGTTACCCAGGCTGGAATGCGATGGGGCGATCTTGGCTCACCGCAACCTCCGCCTCCTGGGTTCAAGCAATTCTCTTGCCTCAGCCTCCTGAGTAGCTTGGATTACAGGCACACACCACTGTGCCCAGCTAATTTTTTGCATTTTTAGTAGAGACGGGGTTTCACCATGTTGACCAGGATGGTCTCAATCTCTTGACCTCGTGATCCACCCACCTCGGCCTCCTAAAGTGCTGGGATTACAGGCGTGAGCCACTGCGCCCAGCAACCATTTTATTTTTTGATAACCTTCTGGATTCATACTTAGATCACACATAAAACACGTATCTTTTCTGCATATTCTTAAAGGATCCCAAGAGGATCTTCTGACATAAATCAGGAGAGGTATAAGCTTATGTGTCCATTAAATGATAAAATAATGTTCAAATTATGGAAATTTCCTTTGCATCATTGGTTCAAGGGAAAAAAGAACTGGACTTCTCGTTCAAATGAACAGGCAGTCACTTTCAAATAAGCTTCAGCTAGAGGACTGTAATTTGTCCTCATCTCCCACTCAGGACATTCTGTCAGAATAAAGATGTCATGTTACCCCAGGAGAAATATTTCCTTGGAGAAGGACAGTGCAGGTTAAGCATGTCCATCAACATGAGCTCAGCATATTACCAACAAGTAGTTTGTTTTCTTCCTCTGCAACAGGTTACCCTTGTGACCTGGACTGGGTTTTCTATGCAGAATTCCATATCTCTGCTGCTGTGGGTGTTGGAGCCAGAAGGAATAGGGCATGTCCCTGCAAACCCCATTGGCTGCTTTCTTGTGCCACTCAAGTTTAAAAAGGCACATTACCTGTGTCCCTTTGGGGCCTGGGAAGAGGGTTCCTGGAAATGACGGTGAAAACGGAATCCGCACTTGTTCCAGGTGGGTCTATCATAGTGCCTTTGAATCGGTGTTCCAGACATCCTGCACCTGCATGCTCTCATTTTTTTTCTTCAAATTCCCTGAAGTCATGACATGCCTCAATTGTTTCTTTTAGCTATGGTACATTGGATTGTTGGTCCCTCCTCTGAGGCTACAGTGAGGTTTATGATGGCCCTTACAAAGGGATTTTCACTCAACCCGCAATTGTCCGCCTATCTTTAGCCTCTCCTTCCTCAGCCATTTCCTAGGAGATACCTCGAGGCTGGGAAAAACGTATGAATTGTATCATCCTGCCTAATGCTTCTTCTTGGCATATTGGTAGCACTCCCAGAACATCGTCAAGAACAGATACTGCCTGTCAACAGGCTCCACTTGTCTGTTTGCTCACTGTATAACCTTGGGCAAGTTATTAATCTTTCTGTACTTCAATTTTCTCAGGAGTAAAGTAGGGAGAATAATAGCATGTACCTCATAGAGTTATTTTGAGGATTCAATAGATTAATACACATAAAGCATACCGGTCCCGTAGTAAATACTATATGATGATTAGATTAAAAAGAAGCAATGGCAGATCCTTTCCCTGGCTGGTAAAGGTGCTCATTCTTCCATGCTGTTTGACCAGCCATTAGATGACATATACATATGTGTGTGTGTATGTGTATAAATGTAGGTATGGATATATGTCAGTATTCAGTTCTCTAATATACGCATCTTATATATATGCATGCTATAATGTATACCTATGTATGTTTAAAATTGAAACGTACTTGCAGACAAACTTTGCTGTAAGGTATCAAAGCTTAATTAGGGAAGCAGTGAATGCTGAGATGTGATCTAATTTGTTCTTCAGGTTTTATCATGAATTACAATGTGCTTCAAATATCAGGTAAGAACCAATATCTCCTTCTTGGCCTTTCTCATCTCTAGAGGCAGCAGCTTTTGCCTCGGTTTTATGACTGAATAATTAATTGATTAATGAACAGCAGAACTAGTGTTTCCGCTCTTTTGTTGTGTCTCCTGTTATTCCATTAGATATCAAGGAACCATTGGTTATAATGACAATAGGGAGAGTAATTTTGTTTTTGGTTTTTTTCAATGTCTGCTCCATGTTTTATCTTGCACCAGGCACTTTTCAGCTTTTACACAGTGAAAGTCTAGCCTTTCATCTCCTACACCTTCTTCACACTAGGAAACCTCACTTCTTCAGAAAGAACATACCTTCTACAAATCCTCAGTGGGCCCTGAGTACTGCATTGTAGATTCGTGGGAGATGCAGGACAGAGTCTATTTTCCATGCCGTACAGCAAAATACTTAATAAGAATCCCCTTTTAGATATTCTGCTCACTTCTCTCCAAATTCGTGGTGCTTGGATTCTCCCTTCCCTCAATTTCCTTCCCATGATCCGAAGTAATTAAGTTCACTGAGAACTTGCACACCCCTCTCAGCAAACAAAGCCCCAAAAGTAAGTGGAACCATCTTCCATAGAATGAAGTAGGGCTGCTTAACTGCCAGTTGGACATAGTCCCCTAATCCCTAAACCAACAATCAAAGTCATCTTCCAACAACCTAAAATCCTCTCCCTAAAGGAAATCCTGATGCTAAGAAAAGTAACATTGTTTTCCATACATTCACATACTGCTTAGCAATCGTTTTGAGTACCTACAATGTGCTAACTACCATGTCTTGGATTTTACACCCATCATCATTTATAATCAACAGCTCTATGTGACCCAACTTTCTTGGAATCAGGTGACTTGTTAAACTACTAGGTGGGACACAGTAGAGAGGAAGCTAAATAGGAGCAGCAGGAGAGAGGGAAAGGGAAGCTGGAACACACTGGTTGGAAGTGTGATTCTGAAACTAGACTGCAGGGTCTCAAATCCTAGCTCTGCCATTTCCTGCTTGGCCTTAATTGGATTCTTCACCTTTGTAAACTTCAGATTTTTCTTATTCAAATGGAGATTATAATTGTACCTATATCATAGAACTGAGATGACAATTAAATGAGATAATATTTATCAGGTGCTTAGCACAATGCTTGGCACTGAGTATGAGGTGCTCAACAAATTATTTGTTACTCTCCTTATTATTATTGTCACCATCAGCAGTAGCCTCATGCTACTCATGTTGGTAATTCATTCTTCTGTCTGTAACACTGCCTTTTTTTTTTTTTTTTTTTAGATAGAGTTTTGCCCTGTCACCCAGGCTGGAGTCCAGTGGCATAATCTCAGCTTACTGCAACTTCCACCTCCCCAGTTCAGGCGATTCTCCTGCCTCAGCCTCCTGAGTGGCTGGCACTACAGGCAGGCACCACCACACCTGGATAATTTTTGTATTTTTAATAGAGACGAGGTTTCACCATGTTGGCTAGGCTGGTCTCGAACTCCTGAACTCAGGTGATCCATCCTCCTCAGCTTCCCAAAGTACTGGGATTACAGCATGAGCCACAGTGCCTGAACTCAGGTGATCCATCCTCCTCAGCTTCCCAAAGTACTGGGATTACAGCATGAGCCACAGTGCCTGGCTTGTACCACTGCTCTTTTATTTAAAATGAAAGGGAGATAGGCATTGTTGCATGAGCCTGTAGTCCTAGATACTTGGGAGGGTTAGGTAGGAGGATCACTTAAACCCAGAAATTCAAGGTTACAGTGAGCTATGATCATTGCCACTGCACTCCGACTTGGGCAACAGAGCAAACCTATCTCTAAAAAAACTTTTTTTAAAGGGAGAGAGAATAATAATACTTTGCTTTTCCCAACTGTTCAAATAGAAACCTGAGTCAAATTAAATTTAGTACAATTTAATTGAGCAAAGAACTATTCACAAATTGGGCAGCCCTCAGAACCAGAAGAGGTTAAGAGAGTTCCCTTTTACAATATGGGCAGGCAGCATTTATGAAAATTGAATGGAGGCACAGAAACAGCTTGATTGGTTATAGCTTGGTGTTTGCCGTTTTTGAACAAGGTCTGATCGGTGATTGATTGAAGTTTAGCTGCTGTGATGAGCCAAGACTCAGCTGTTTGTTATAAAAGTATACTCCTAAGGTTGGTTTTCAGTTAGTTTCTGTACTCAATTAGGTTGCAGTTGTTAAATAAGGAATCAAAGTATAGAGTCATTCTCGGGCCAAATTTAGTTTAATTAAATTCAAGCAACAAGAAATTCAAGAATGATAAGTATAAACATACCTTGGAAAAATTCATAAAGAACCACACAAATATTAGGGAATACCATTCTCAATAGAGCATTATTGGAGTAGAATTAAGACCTGCTCTAGGTCCATGTGATTCTGAGTAGAAGTTTACATTTAATTCCTAAGTCAATTTATCAAGTAACACAATTCAACACATCTCCTCTCCCCAGAGACCAATCAATAACTGTCATTTGACACATTTACAGCCCACTTCCTTCAAAGAAAATGCTTATTGAATGTCGTACAATAAACCATTTCCTAGTCTTGGTGCTGAACAACAGTGACCCACAGCCCCCTTCTCTGTTTCAATGAACTAAATGCTGATGTTTTTTTTTTTTCCACAGCCTAACCAACCCAGCTTCCCAGCTAATTCCAAAGGGATTAACTCTTTCAGTTCAAGGGGGCTCAAACTCTGAGCTAGCAGAAGTGTGTATTCATTCTAAAATTGGAACAGAACAGGATAAAACAGACTCTGAGTTTTCCTTAGAGCTTGACTCTTTGCTGTTTCAAAATCTCTGCTTCTGACTCAACATTCGTACTGAACCAAAATGACGAGGACTCCAGAGGATAAACCTATGTCAACAGTTTGCAGCCACAGTAATATCTCTGCCCTGCCAAGGTTCCATGTTCAGGTTTTACCTAAAAGTCCTCAAGGGCTTGATACATGTGAGTCCTGGACTACTCTCTTAGGTAGACCTTTTAACTAAGTCCACCTTGGTGCTTCTTGCCAGTTAGGCTGGTTTTGCAGACTAATCTGGAGTCTCGCTTTTGACACCAGGGAACCTGCCTGTTCCTCCCTGACTTGTCTGCTACAGAGCACTGACCAGTAAGCCTCTGATTCCTGATGCAGAGTCTTGCTAGTTGTGGCTGCATAGGCAAGCCAGCTTAACCTCTTTGTGTCTCTGTCTTTTTTTTTTTTAATCTGCAAAATGGAGTTTCATTAGTTGCTTATATGAATGCTATGATCATTATGAATAATTCAAATAATGAATGCAGAAGTTGCCTTTTCAACAGGTACATGAGATGGTCTCAAGTAATCTTAATTAAACTTGGGTGTTTGTCTGTGCCTCTAATATCTGTCTCTTTACAGCTTTTATATCCTCCAGATGCTTCCAGTGCAGGCCTCAGCTGCCTTGCCCTTCTTCCTTGTTATTTATACCCCTTCAAGTGCACACACTGACCTTTGCATTTGATGCCTGAAAAATAATTTGTTTCAACATTCTACGTCTATGTCAATTAAAATAAATTTAATGCATTTCTCAAGCCCTCCACCTTCATTTCTACTGGAAAAACCCAAATGCAAATGAGACGTCTGGTTCTATGCACAGATGGTCTGTGCATTATTTGTGTCTGTCAAATCAAGCTAATGTGAAACCTCATGTCATAGAGTCTGCGTGTCCTTTGTTTCTTTGCTAGGGATTATATATGATGAAAAGAAATGACCAGGATATGAAGAAAATATTTTCTGAAGTCACACTGATTTGTGTTTTGCTGTAAGTCAAATCATTTGATTATTCTGATAATATATTTGTTGAGTCTTCCCAGGTCTGTGGCACTGTTTTTGATTCTGTGGGAAATTCAGGAAAACCACGCTGTAAGCTCTGCTCAGGAGGGTCACATCAGAAGCCCTGTTGTTTTATGGGGAGAGCACTGGATTATGCACTGCAAATCTGAGGACTGGGTTTTGTTATTGGAGCCAGGTTTTTCAAACTCTGGGTCTGATCATTAATTTAAAATCAATTAAAATTTAGCAAAGATTTTCAAAATGTATACTGCTACTATGAGTAGTATACGTTCCATGATGAACAAGCTTCAGTCCTTCCCTTTAAAAGCTTTCAGTTTGACTGGAGAGGCAGACAAGTAACTGGATAATTGTAATACAGTGGGATTAATGCAAACGTCATTCCTACAAGAAGGCATTGAAAGCATGCACTTGCACACACACACAAGAGCTAGGGTACATTTTAGTCCCAGCTCAAATGCCAGCTTCCTCCTCTAAACTCCCCCAGCATTTTATCTGAACTTCCATGATGGCGCTGTTCCATTTTTGCATCCTCCACAAGTATTTGTAGAATGAATGAACAATTTCCTTACCTTTTCCAAACACAGGAAGCTGGTATCTATAGCTGAATAGTTACAGCCCGATATCTGATCCTGCATACTATTCGGCAAGCTGCTAACTGAGTGATAAAGTCCCTTGGAACCTCACCCCTGAGAACTTATATCTTTGCATGACCCTGAAAAGGGTGGGAATTCAATGAAATGAGTAAATTATCAAAAACAAACAAAAAAGAACCAAACGCTGGAATTTTAAACACGGATGACCTTGTTTCACATTATGCTGAAGGTCATATGAAAGCCCACTTTGACCAAAGCATCTTCCCAAATATCCACCCAAGAACACTCTCCTTCTTTCCCTTCAACCACAGTCCCCATACACCTCAGTTTGCTTCTCCAGCCCCTGTGTTTACCCTGGCTTTTGTCTCTGTGCCTGACCCTTCTCGGGGCTAAAGACCTGCCGTGGCGCCTCTATCTGACCTTTGGTTCCACCTTTACTCTCTGCTGTTTCTGTCCCCTTGACCTCAGAGTTAAATACAACTTCAAGTAAAGAACCCCCGCAAGATGGCTTCCACTCTAAGAAATTCTCAGTCTAGGCGGGTCCCCAGTTTTCCCCTAGGGAGAGAGAATTCGGACAAGTAAAGGAGGATGGAATTGAGGTATTCGGGTTCCAGAAATGGCACTTACCAAATGTGTAATCTCAAATAATAGGTTTTACCTATACTTTGCCTACTTCCCCATCTATATAAATGGCGGTAGTACTCACCTCAGGTGCTTACGAAAATCAAACTTGAATCAATGTATGTATGTATAAGCGCTTGGGATAAAGATAACATTTAAATACAGCAGTTCTTTCCTCTCTAACCTCTCCCTCACGTGGCCTCAGTTTCCTCCCAAGTGTCAATGTGATATTCTTCCTAAGGCAGAAGGATCAGGAAGTTCCCTTCCTAAAAATATTCCAGACTTACCTACCTTTGGTCCTTCTTCCTAGTCTTCAACGATTTTTTCCTGTTCAGTCTCTCAATTCATCTCGGGAACACTGAATTATCCCCCAGTCCAATGCATGCCAATTATTTTGCAGCTAACTCATTGAGAGTTGAACATGACATAAATCCAGGTATTGATAATAATAATACCAAAAGCATCCAAGTCAGCAAAAAAGGGCTCATGATGGGAAACATCATTGCCAATGGTCTCAAACAGGACTGCTCTGGCTATTTTATTTTTTACTGGTACCTTAAGAATTTTATACTGCCTTGGTGTGTGCATAATTTTTGCTTTAGTCATCTGGGTCTAAGTGGTCCCTTATCCCCTAAGCTTCACCCTGATGCCCTTTTCAGCAGGAATTTGGAATCCTTTGTTGACATACTACAGTGTGAATGCATCAAGAAAGAGAAACAATTTGAGGGATTGCTAAAAAGTCGAGAGTGCATTCCAAAACATGGAAGCAAAAGAACATATCAGAAGGAGCCCAAGTTTTCAATAATTTGGCTTTTATCTTTTAACTTCAGAACTACGACTAAATAAATATCCTTGTAGACTCCAACGTGTATTAGTCTACCTCCATCTCCATTTCCATCATCATCTCCATCTTACCTCTATCTCTATCACTAATCTATCAATGTAGAAAGATGTACCAATTTCTTTTGGGAAGTTTCTGTACCTGTATGGTCATTGTATGTCATGCTATGTATGTGAGTGACTAGGTCTGCCTCCATATCTTTTTCTACAATTAAGTGCATAGGCAAGTGCCAATGAACTCCTTACAATAGAGGTTTTTTGTGTTTGGGACATAATGCAAACGTCATTTCTGGATCTTGGAGTTGAATGCCAGCATTGACAGGAAGGAGTGAGGTCAGTTGCTCTTCATTCCAAGAACTAGAAGAACCCACAAGCCATTACATTCCCAGGCATGAAACTGTCACAGAGGCTGCTTCTCAGGCCCCCAGTTTTTCCATCCAGACTTTGTTTCATGGCAGGTGAGCATGTTCTAAAATGTGAGGAAGATGAGAAAGTCTATAGAGGACCAACCCTGAAAAGATTTTGTGCCTCAACCATATTCGACAATTGGTGCAGCATAGGAGAGAGAGTACACATGCTCTCCATGGAGGAAGTACAGCCTAGCACTGAGACCAGTGTCTGTAGTGTCGGGCTGCCTGCTTCCTCATTCTGCTCCCATCCCTTATTTCCCAGCTGGATGATTTTGAGCAAATTGGACTGCATTTTTCTCAAAGGTAGTTGTATTGCCAATTTTGCAGTGAAGTTTCATGCTGTAAAGGACTTAGAACAGTGGCTGTCTACAGGTAGAGCTCAGGGAAGAGTTATCTATTATTCTATGCCCCCAAAACCTAATGAAGGGCTTGTATTCTTTGCTCTCCTTCCTCAGTTCTCACATCTGTCCTGCAAAATGTCTGAGAAGTTATTTTCCCTGATTTTCAGACAGAAACTGAGACCTGAGGAAACAAGAGGAAATGGTCTGGGTAAGAAGGAAATTGTCTAAATACGGAAACCAGTGCTCATATTTTTTCTCCTATAAAGCATTCTACAACATCGCTTGCTCTTTAGGATGGGATGAAAGGCAAAATTTTAACTCAAATTCCACCCCCCCAAATGTTTGGGGTTTCTTTGCTAATACTCCTTTTGTTGTTCCTTCTCTACCTCCAAAGAAGCCATCAACTTTTCCTTGAGTGGAGGAAAAATAATGGCTGCATCATATATACAAAGCAAAAAGCCTGTTTCTCATCCACCCTCCCTATATACAACACCCCCCTGCTTATATACAACAAAATACCATGAATGCAAGGTGCCCCAGTAGTGGCTCACACTGTTTCATAGAATGTAAATATCTTAAAGGGAGAGACTTTTAAAAAATTGCTGTATCTTCCACTAGATATATGTTGAACAAATGGATGGATGATGATTCATTTCTTTCAGTCTCCTTTATCAAGATCTCATTAGGTATCTGGTACTTCCCTGTCTCAAGAAACACTTATTAAACACGGAGTATAGTACAGTTACCATAGCACATGCCAGGGGTGCAAAGACAGAGACAGAATTGATGCTTTCAAGAGACCAGAGTCCAGTAAGTAAAGTGGGAAATTTAGAGAGATTTGGGGACACAGGGAGTTTCAACTTTTCACAACATTACAACAGAGTAAAGGAATTGATCTGAAAATCTCATTTGCATTATGTTTGTAGTGTAAACCTAATGGAAATCATCACATTAGAAAACTCAGCAAAAGAACAGACACTGAGCACTAAGATACACAAAAAATATGTAAAGAAAGGAAACAATACTACGCCATTTTTCTGAGGTAAGAAGCGGTTCAACCAGACTTTTGTCATTGTTGTTGGTTTGAAGGAAATATTTCCCTGAGATGTTTACACATGTCCTTTGCAGGCTTCCCTCTGCCACTATATTCGGACCAATTCATTGGAGCTCCTAATCAGCCCAAGGTCCCAGAAATAAGAGCAACCCTACAGCTAACCACTCTGTCTACTGTACTGTATTTAAGGATATAACTGAGCCTCTCCTGGCTATATCCACTTGGCCTGTTCTCGGCTTAACTGAGCTAACTGGCCATAGGCTTGATTGAACTCGAGAAATGACATTTTGGAAAGAAAATGTGACTTTTATTGAGGATTCTTATTAAGTATCTAGCTGTATGTGGGTGTTTCCAGATCACTGAAGACTGTGTCATTCTGCCTGCCTTCCTGTGGCTCCTAATCGAGGTATTCCATGTGTGTAGATAAAGGATGGTAAAGGGACTTGACCCTTTGGCAGTTGTATCATGGCCTTTCAGAATCCAGGGGCCTGTCCTTTGGCTTATCTAAGCATCAGAATCTCATTAAGCCTCCATGTGTGAGTGAGACCAGCTCTCTTGACCCAGATACTTTCAAGTTGTGTCAAAGAATGTACATGCTAGCCCATCGTTGAAATATCAGCATCACAGGACACCCAGAGACACCACACAAAGGAAGCAGAAGAATTTGAAGAAACAAATTACATCCATCCAGAAACTGGTCCATCGTTGGCATCTAGATAGAGGTAGAAAATAAAATAATGATGTGGAGACCAAAGGGCTTGCATTCAGCCTGAGTCTAGAATAGACACCACCAATTACTCCACGGCTAGCAGACCATAATCCCTTGCACACAACATGGTTATCATCCAGGTGGAAATCCCAACACTGTAACATATGGCTGGGGTAATAAAACACATTGCTGGAGCAACTCTGCTTCTGAGACAAGTTTCTCCAGGGAGTTAGACTCCTTTCTATCCACACTACCACACAACCTAGGTACAATGTAGCCAGGTGACCAACCCTATACACACACTCTAGTCTCTTTTTCAGATCTATCCAGGTTCAGTGACTTGCCTGAGACCATCTAGCAAACAGGTGACTCGCTGGTCCTTATCCTTGCCAGCGTTTTATTTCCAGCCACATCTTCTCTACCCATTTTTTCTTCTTAGTCTTAATGAATCTCTTCTTTCTCACCAATACAGACTTTTTACTCGAGATAGGCCAATTTACCCAGGCACCTTGCCTAGAGTACATTTTCATTTCTCCCTTGT